TTTGTGTCATGAATTTTCTAGATTCCAGTTTATTTTACCTTATTTTTTCTCAAAATTTCAGTAATTTTCTTATAAAAGTGACACACTTGGTGGCTGTTAAGGCTTCGTTAGACGACTTTCATTGTTTTTTTGACCTGAGAATAATAGCTGGGAGAGGGGATCATAAACTTAAGAGCAGTGAAAGTTATTTATACAAAAAAGATTAAAAATCCTTGGAGATATTTTAATGGTAATGGTAATGCTATATTTAACATTACATAAAAATTGTTGGGTGAGATCTTCTGCTTCTGTTGTATTTCCTGCATCATTTTTTAAAAATAAATTTACTTATTAAAAAAAAAAGCAGTGATGGCTGCAAAACTTTATACTAACCGCTGAATTGTACACTTTAAAAGGGTTGCATGGAATTATATCTCAGCAAAAAATGGGGGGAGGTAATAATAATACCTGTAATAATAAAGGTTCCTATTATTATCCAGTAGTCTGCCTTCTCTTATCAGAAATAGAAGGAAGTAGGGAGATTAAAGTCATTCTGTCAACAGCTCTTGATAATGAGAAGTCTGGAATTATATTTCAAATTGCCTATAAAGGGTGGCCAAAAAGTCTGGAAACTTAGAGGTAGAGGATTAATGGCCCTGCTCTCAAAGGGAAATGATTTATGCAGAAAATAAGAGTAACCAGTAGGAAGGGGCTACCCGATAAGGCACTGGTTGCCCCACCCCAAGGGCCAGCCGGGCTGCCAGCTGTCTAGTGCTCCAACCTGACAAGGCCTGGTGTGAAGCCAGGTGCACCTGAGCCCCACCCACAGATTTCCCCAGGTAGTGAGTCACGAGAAAAGCTACGAAGCCAAATGGGCTTTTCCTTATTTTACTTCTGCAGCCTCTAAGCCTATCACTGACCATTAAGCACAATCTGTGGGCCACTCTATGGTGGCCCAAGGAAAGGAAGCAGCAGGAGCAAAAGCTGAAAGGTGAGAAAGGAAGGACTATTAGCAATAGTTTAGCAGGATCACCAATTCCTTCCAGGAATCACAGCAGACAGAATGACCTTAAAATGTACATTGTAACATGTCACCTCCTACTTAGAACCCATCCAAGGCAATCAGAAAACATGCAAACTCCCCACAGCTACCTGGAATAAAATGCACACTTGGTGTGCCAGCCACCAGCTGTGCCTGATGGCACCTGCACCTCTCTGGTCCTCCTTCGCCCCTCTTCCCTCTCAGAGCTTCCAACGCACCAGGTCCTCCAACAGCCCAAGCGCCTGGCTGCCCAGGGCCTGGCATACACTGCTCCCTCTGCCTGACTCTGCGCTCAGCAGGCAGCTTCTCATCCCTCAAGTCTTAACTCATATAGTAGCTCAGATAAATACCTACAGGGGGCCCCTCCTGTTAATCTCTACCACAGCTCCCTGCGGGTGCTCTGTGGAGGGCTCACCACACTGTCACTACTTTACTATTTATTGCAGTCTACCCTGCAGACAAGTCACGCAAAGATGGGGAGTATGTCCAACTTAGTCCCTGGTGTATCTGAGGTGCTGCCACAGTGTCTGGTGCATGGTTGGCATTTGATGTTTGCTAAATAGATGAACCTGTATTTTTAAAAATAACTCTGGCTGGGGAGAATTCCAAGAGACAAGGAGAACAATTAAAGTGGTCACAGATCACACCTTAAGTAACACTGATTGTGGTGCTACTAATAGTACCACTTACAAGGACTTTCTTTCTGACAATTATACAATTACATCAGTTAAGCAATGAACAGACTTGATTTGACTAATAGTGATTGCCTGAATGTTTACTAACTGGGGGTCTGTGTGCTTTTACTGTGCATACAATCCCATGTGTCCTTGAAGCTCCTTCACAAAGCAGAAGCCAGGTGGGCCTGTGGACTATTCCCAGGGTTAGCAGGCTGTTCTTCTGCCCCTTTCACCCCCTCCTCAAGTGTAACACGCGCAGGTTATGCTGCTGCTCTACAGCAGGGCTTCTCAGCATGGGCTGCACATGAGACTCCTTTAAAAATTCCAAAACCCAGGCTGCACTCCAGACCAATTACATCAGAATCTTTGGGGATAGGGCCCAGGCGTCAGCACTTTTTAAGGCTCCTCAGATAATTCCAATGGGCAGCCAAGGCTAAGAAGCACTCTTTTAGTTAAAAATCCAAGCACCCAGAGACCAACCTTCACTTAATTCCCTTATGATAATAGGATCTTGTATTCATTTTAAAGGTAAAAGAGCTGGTTGTACCAAAAGGAAGCATCCTATGAATAAATGCTAATCTAGAGATACTCATAAATTGTTTCCTGAATGTTTATTTAAATCATTAAATCCCTTTTTTAGATTTTTAATACTCTTCCAACTCCTATTAAAGTGTACTACAAATGTCACTTTGCCTCAGAATACTCAGATAGAAAAGTGTATCTACTTGGTGAATAAAAAAATTCTAAAATATATAAAACCCACTTACCTGATCAACTACTCAGATACATGACCATCTCTACCATTTCACAGAATTCTTAGCAATAGACACGAACACTTAGCTTCTTGTAAATAAAGAGAGCCAATAATGTTCAATTGACTATGTAGAAAATGAAAGAATGAGTTCAAACAAATGATAAAAAACTGAAATTGACTTGCTTGAAATTACTTTTAAAATATGACTTTAGGGCTTCCCTGGTGGTGCAGTGGTTGGGAGTCTGCCTGCCAGTGCAGGGGACGCGGGTTCGTGCCCCGGTCCGGGGGGATCCCACATGCCGCGGAGCGGCTGGGCCCGTGAGCCATGGCCGCTGGGCCTGCGCGTCCGGAGCCTGTGCTCCGCGATGGGAGAGG